TTTTTCATAGTTTTAAATTTATTTTTCAAGTAAATTAAAATTGTTTAAATTACACTTTTTGAGTTTTATCCTTAAAATTTTTGAGAAATTCTATTTGCATATTATTTTTCTGTTAAAATTCTTCAAAAACTTGATTTTTAAAAATATTTTTCAAAAAATTCTTTTCAAAAACGACTTAAAAAATTCCATTATTTTCAAAATAATTCTAGTAAATTTCATTTATAATATGGAAATTGTTTAATTATATATATTAGTTGAAAAATTTAATATATTTCAAAAATTATTTTAAAAAGTTTACCAAAAATTAATTTTCATAATTTTTTTAAAATAATTTTTTTTTAGAAATCAATGGAAGTTAATATTTTCAATAATTCACAGAAATAACTTTAAAACAAAATAATAAAGACTCACAGTTCTAATTATTTTTAAATTATATGTAATATCATATTTCAGTAAGTGAATCATATTTTATTGAATTAATTATATTTTCCACAATTCGAAAACATTTAATTTTTGTATTTGAATAATAAAATTTGTGAAAAATTTTTAGAAAATTATTGAAAATAATTGATTTAGAGAAAAAGTTAGTTAAAAATTGTAGAAAATAATTTTATTTTGAAAGAATTACGGTTGTAATTTTTGAAAATAATGGAATTTTAGAAGATTCTAAATTGGAATAAACAAATTTTAATTCTTGTGGAAAAATAGAGAAATAACAAGTATTTAAATATTTCTTGAACAAAATTATTGATGGTTTAAAAAATTCCAAAACTTGACAATTTCCGCATTCAGATTCTTTTTCTTCTTATTTTCCTTTCTTCGCAATTATTTTTTAATTTATTAAACATCTCCTTCTTGTATTTTTTTTATATCAAAATTTGAAACGAAATTGAAATTTTTAAACAAATTTTGCATTTTTTCAGATTTTGAATTTGCGAATTTATGCAAATTGCAAAATTTTTTATTTTTTTTATTTAAAAATTCATTTGCTTGATAAAATTTGGAATTTTCCAAATCAATTGATCAATTGATCAATTGAGAATTCGGTAATTAATTTGGAAAATTGGAATAAAAGTTAAATTAAAAAAAAATTGAAGAGTAAAAAATAGTAAAAATTCTATTTTATATAAAATTTGATTCACTGGAAAATAGAACTAATATCTATTTTAGGGAATAATATAAACTAGCAAAAACTGACGCGCGCGAGCGCGCGTGCATTTTTTTTTCAACGTTTTATTTTAAATAATTAAAACTTTATTTTTTCAGCGAATTTGAACCATTATGATGTCACAATTTTTTAGCAAATGCTGTGAACAAATTGTGACGTCATTATGGTTCAAATGCCATTAAAGAAATTATTTCATCTTCTATTAATTAATATATTTTTGCATTTTCTTTTTTTATATAAATAAATTAAAATTTTTATTTATTAATTGAAAATATCTGTTCGCAGTTTATATTTTTTTTTTGTTTAATATTTTAATAATTTTATGTTTTAATATATATATAAATATATTTTTTCTATTAAAATAGCAATTCTTTAAAATGATTATTATTATTTTTAAGGGTATTTTAATTATTATTATGACGTTATAATGTTTTAAATAAATTTAAAAAATGGAAATGCTGGAAAGAATGAAAAATACATTTTTTTTAGAAATATAAAATTATTCAATTAACATCTTCTATCTTTATATCTTCTCTCTATATTAATATCTTCTTCTTCTATCTTCTTTGATTTAGTTGTAATTTACTTTTTTGTTTCCTATCTTCTTTAATAATTTTATGTTTCAATATTTTTAATTTTAGAGGCATTTCACGTCAGAAATATCACGATTTGCAAAGGGTATGCCGATTTTCGCAAAACTTCGTGGGATTATAGTTCTATATAAGAGACTTCTTTCCCCTAAATTTTTTCAAAAAAAATTCAAAATTGTTGAAGATACGCCATTTTGAATTTTAATATTAATTTTATAAAATTTTGAATATCTCGGAATATTGTTTATGGATTTTTATGAAATTTACACATTTTTCAGGTAAAAGTATGTACTTTAAAATGCAAATAAAGTTAATAAAAAAAAATTAATTTTTAAATAAAAAAATTAAAAAAAATTTTTTTAAACAATTTTTTGTTTATTTACTCCTCTCTGAGAAAAATGTTATTAACATATTTGGATTCCTTATGAATTCACCTTTAATTTCATAAAAAAAATTGATGGAGACTCAACTGGTTCCGGAGATATTGAATTTTTTGTAAAAAAAAGCGTCGCCGCGCCATAGCACCATACTGCACAAGTCGCGTAGTACGTTACCGCAGTCGTGCATTGCTGCTGTAACTATGACTATTTTTTTACAAAAAATTCAATATCTCTGGAACCAGTTGAGTCTCCATCAATTTTTTTTTATGAAATTAAAGGTGAATTCATAAGGAATCCAAATATGTTAATAACATTTTTCTCAGAGAGGAGTAAATAAACAAAAAATTGTTTTAAAAAATTTTTTTTAATTTTTTATTTAAAAATTAATTTTTTTTTTATTAACTTTATTTGCATTTTAAAGTACATACTTTTACCTGAAAAATGTGTAAATTTCATAAAAATCCATAAACAATATTCCGAGATATTCAAAATTTTATAAAATTAATATTAAAATTCAAAATGGCGTATCTTCAACAATTTTGAATTTTTTTTGAAAAAATTTGGGGGAAAGAAGTCTCTTATATAGAACTATAATCCCACAAACTTTTGCGAAAATCGGCATACCCTTTGCAAATCGTGATATTTCTGACGTGAAATGCCTCTTTAATTAAAATTAATATATTGAATTTCATTTAAATTCTTGCAAAAAATTTGAGAATCATTGAATTTCTTCAAAAAATGTCATTATTTATGAAAATAATTCAATTTTCGCTAAAAATCATTAAATCAATTTTGGAAACCCTAATTAAATTTTTCTGAAGAATTATTTTTTATTTTTTGTTTAATAATTGTGTTTCTTTAATAATTTTAATTGGATATTTTTAAAGTAATTTAAATTTATGAACAATTTTTTTCAAGTTTTTAAAACTAATTTTTAAATTTGTAAATTTAGTTGAAACATCTATTGTTTACATTTATCCCTTGTTTACAATTACCCCAAATGGCCCTAATTGTAAATTGATTGTTTTGTTGATTTTTGAATTTTATTTCGGAATAATTCAATTTTTTATTATGTATTTTTCATGATTTGAAGACTTTATATAGTCTTTAAAAGACTTGATAGTATTTAAATAGTTGAAATGAAAGGCGGTGCCTAAAGTATTTTTTTTAAGTTCATTATTTTTTTTTCTTTTTAGAAAATCTATTTTCTATAATATTGTGTTAAAAAAAACGTTAACATTTTATATTTTATTTGAACAGAAGATAACGATAAGTTTAATTCTTGCAAAAGAAAGCACTTATAAGTTAATTCTACACACAAACACACACAGAAATACGTTTATTTTTTACGTAAGTGCCAATAAATTAATTTCAATTTTTTATTTAAAATGAAATAATTTAATTTTGAATTAATTGTATTTTTGATATTTGAATAATTAATTATTATTTTGAACAATTACATTTTTCAATGATTTCAAAATAATTAAATTTTTATTAAAAACAGAATAATTTATTTTTGAATTAATTAAAATTGTTTGATTTATTTTTGAATAATTAATAATTGACTTTTGAATTATTTAAAATTCAAATATTGTAAAAAATTAATAAAATATTTAAAAAAACAATTTATTTTTAACATAATAAAAAAAGTAATTTATTAAAATACTAAATTCAAATAGATTTTGAATTGCAATTATTTTTAAAAATAAATAAATTTTTTGTGTAAAATCATTTTTTTAAAATTAATTAAAATTTGAAACAATTGAATTTTTTTTTTTCATTTTTGAAAAATTAATTATTTCGAACAATTTTTTAAACATAAAAGAACCAGGAGCTATTATCACTCATAATAGCAATCAAAAAAAGCACACACTAAAGGGATCGCTCTTCCCAAAAAATTTAGACTCTAGATCCTGCACTGTATAAGTTAATAATTGAAGATTAATTAAATTTTTGAAAAATTAAATATTAAAAAATTAATTATTTTGAATAATTAATATTATTGAATAGTAATTTACGAAAACGACCAATGTAATAAAATTTAGAACGATATTTTTTATTGATTCAGGAAAATTGAATTTTTTAATTAAAATTAATAATCGTTGAAAATTGAAAATAATACAACTTTTATTGACAATTCGATATTTCAGTTTTTTTAGATTTTAAAAATGCATAAAATTTTCAATAATAATAATAAATCAAAATACAATAAATATTATCAATTATAATTATAAATAAAAAAAAAATAATAATAATAATAATAATAAGATATACGAATAAAATTTGTTTTTAAGTTATTTTGAGATTTTTATTTAACAAAATAAAATGAAATAATATAAATGATTTAATTAAGAAGAAAATTTTAATTAATAATTAGAATTTACCAATCTACAGTTTTTTTTCCACTGAAAACGGTAACCTCTCGCCTGATACCAGATATTTTTCCACGATTTTTCAAACACAATAATTCTTGTCACAATTTAACGTTTTTTAAAAACACCCGCACTACCGCATAACATAACATCGGAAATGTCAAAACATCACGAAAAATATAAACAAACAAAAAAATCATGATAATAATTCGCAAATGATAACTAACAACTAACTTCATACTGCGAACGGACAGAATGAAAAACCACAGACTTTAATAAAGTTAACTAGCTTTACTACACGCGCGCAAGCGCGCGTGGAATTTTCGGGGCCATTGTTAATTTAAAAAAATTTTCTTTTAAAATTTAATAAAAAATCGTTACTTTAAAAAAAATTATTTTATTAATATATTATTACATATTATTATTATCAATTTTTAATTGTTTAACAATTAAACCTTAATTATTGATTTAAAAAAAAATAAATTCAATCGTGAACTGAAAAAAATTAATTTTTTGGTTTTTTTTCGACAACATTGTCGTTAACTTCGGTACTTTTATTTAATTTTTTAATTCTGAGCATTCCTTTGCTCAAGTACGCTGCTGTCACTTTCTCAGTGCTTATTATTTCCAGCTTATTTAAGTCTGTTACCTCTAAGACTGGAGGATCTACAATAAACAAATTTTTATCATATTATTAATATTATTCTTATTTATTTATATAATCTTATATATTACAGGGCTCGGATCGACTTTAAGACTCAAAAAAAGTAGCTTTAGTCGCATAAATTCACAACAAAAGTCACGAAAAGTCGCATAAAATTTGCAAAAAAGTCGAAAAAAAGTCGCATGGAATTTTAGAAAAAACGACAAAAAGGAAACACGAAATTGTCAAAAAATCACATTTCTCGACAACACATACTTTAATATCAAACAATCCAGAATAAAATTTAATAAAATTTAATAAAATTCAAAGCAAAATTTTAATTAGGTATTTTTAACATTTTTTAAAAAATTTTCTTTCAAATGTAAAATATTTTTATAAATAATAAAATTCTTCTCCTAAATTCAATTATTTAAACAAAAATTTATTAAAATTCTTGTCAAAATTTCAATTATCTTTATAAATAATAAAATTCTTCGCAGAAATTCAATTATATTCAAAATTTTTTTTTAAATTCTCGTAAAAATTTTATAAATAATAAAATTCATTATGGAAATTTAATTATTTTCAAAAGTTCTGATAAAATTCTAATACAAAATTCAATTATATTCAAAAGTACGAAAACTCTTTGCTGAAATTCAATTATTTTCAAAAAATTATTTTAAATTCTCCTCACAATTTCAATTATCTTTATAAATATCAAAATTCTTCTGCAAAATTCAATTACTTTTAAACATTTTTAAAGAAATCTGTTCAAAATTTCAATTATTTTTATAAATAATAAAATTCTTTTCTGAAATTAAATTATTTGTAAAAATAATAATAAAATTCTTGTCAAAATTTCAATTATCTTTATAAATAATAAAATTCTTCTCTAATATTTAATTATTTTCATAAGTAATAAAATTCTTCGCAGAAATTCAATTATATTCAAATTTTTTTTTCAAATTCAAATTTTCTCGATAAAATTCTTTACAAAATTCAATTATCTTCCAAAGTAAGAAAATTCTTCTGCAAAATTCAATTACTTTTAAATATTTTTAAAAAAATTTGTTTAAAATTTCAATTCTCTTCATAAATGAATAATAAAATTCTTCTCTGAAATTTAATTATTTGTAAAAATAATAATGAAATTCTTGTCAAAATTTTAATTATCTTTATAAATAAAAAGATTCATTCTAGAAATTATATTATTTTCAAATTTTTTTTTAAATTCCTCGTCAAAATTTTATTTATCTTCATAAATAATAAAATTCATCCTGGAAATTTAATTATTTTCAAAAGTTCTGATAAAACATTAAGAAATTAAGAAACGAGATAATATGTTATGTTTTTTTCCCTAAAGAGAAGAATGATTTTGTGAACAATATTGTTTACAAAAAAAGATTTCTGCCATTTACAATTTAAGTCAAAAAGTAATTGAAAAATTTGAAAAAATTCGATTAGTCGCATTTTTTCACAAAAAAGTCGAAAAAAGTCGAAAAAGTCGCACAATCCGAGCCCTGATATTATTATTATTTATTTATATAAATAACATTTTAATAAATTTTAAAAATATTTTCACTACATTATATATATATATATATATTTTTCATAATATTATAATAATTACTAAGGTGACTTACTTCCAAAGTTAATTTTTCCTCTGACTTTAATTTTCAAGCCTTTTTCAAATTGATTCAAGTTTTCCAATTCAAAATTATTAATTTTCATCTCCAATTTTTTATTGTCCTCCATTATTGAGCAGCAAGCATGTTGGTATTGATTGTTTTTTCCCTTAACTGCTTGAAAAGCAGTTTTTATATAGCCAATTATTTCTGTAAAAAAATAAGTAAATTATAAAAATAGAAGATACTAAGACAACTATTATTTAAAGGAAGATATTACATAATATTATCATAAATAATTAAATAAGTTGAAATAAATTTTGTAAATGATAAATTTTAAAATTAATTAAGAATAAATAAATAATTAAAAAATAATAAATAAATTAACAACTCACCAATTTCACTTCCATTTGGAGCATTTTGAATTGTTTCAAAGGTGCACTCCAAAGTTTTATCTTCTGTGTCTGTTTTTTGCACCCCTAAAACAGTTATTTTTGTATTTGATTGTATTGATAAATCAAAATGCAAGTTTCCTCCTAAATCTTGATTTGAAAAAAATTGTTTTTTGGAAGCAACAGCATCCAAATGCAAAATCTAAAAAAATTATTAATGATTAATTAATTTACTAAAATTATGTTATTAAAACAATATAATATATACAGGCAAACTTCGCTACGGCGGAAAGCAATTAGACGATTCCGCCGTAGAGAGGTTCGTTAAAATGTTATTAGTGAGTGAACGTTCAGGAATATATCAACCATTTTAAATGATATGATTTTTAAATTTCAAATAGAAGTTATGATAATTTATTAATAACCTTATTTAAAAATATGTATGAAAAATCATTGAGTTCTTGCAAAGAATTTTGTCAAAAAATTTGAGAATAATTGAATTCTTTCGCAGAATTTTATTATTTATGAAAATAATCGAATTCTCGCGAAAAATTTAATTAAAATTTATAAAAATCTTAACTAAATTCTTTTGAAGAATATCTTTAAACTTTTTTAAAATAATGGAGTTTCTTTAATAGTTATAATTAAAAATTTTGAAAATAATTAAATTATACAAAAAATTTTTTTAACTTCTTAAAATAATCGTGTCTGTTAATAGGTAATTTTAAATATTTGATTTTTTAAGTTTATTAAAATTGTATTGAAAATAATTGAATTCCTCAGGAGAATTTTATTATTTATAAAAAATAATTTAATTTTTGTGATGAATTTTAAAATAATTAATTAATTTTTTTAAAAATAACTTTGATTTGTTATTCCATTTATTTTATTATTTTTCATGTTTATTTTTTATAATATATAAAATATATCATAAAATAAACAAAAATTATAAATCAAATATAAATTAAATAATTTAAATAAAAAAACATCCATATAAAAATTACAATTCGAAACTTTTCGGCCCTGAATTTCATAGCACTCACACAGTCTCAACTCTCACTGATATAATTCCTTCTACTTCTACTTGGCGAGTATCCGCCGTAGCGTGGTTTGCCTGTATTATATATATTATTGGTCTAATTATTAATTATTATTTAAATTCAATAAAAAAATTAATTAAATAATGAACTTATTTATTTAATTATCTAATTTAAATTTGAAAATTTTATTTGAATTTGAAGTTTAGACTTAGGGGCTGTTCAAAAAATACGTAACGCTATTTTTCGGAAATTTGGACCCTCCCTCCCCCCATGTAACGCAATGTTGTATACATTAGCGCCATTTTTTCTGCTGACCGTAACAAATAGCTTGATCCCCCCCTCCTTCCCCCTAAAGCGTTACATATTTTTTGAACGGCCCCTTATAAAAAAAAAATTAAGAAAGAAAATAACTTACGAAATTTTGACGAATGAGTCCATTCGTTCTTTTTATCTGCTCATTCCAAATTTTCAAAACAACTTTCGAACCATTAGCATTGCTTAAAACAGCGGTTTGTAAAAAATGCTTCCCATCTTTCCCAGTCACAGTTGGAGCTGTCACACTCTCCACAAACAGAACAAGTTCACTAAAAAACGTAAAAACGATTTTGTATAATAAGAATGTTAATTTTTAATAAAATTGTTTAAGAATCATTTTATAAGAATATTATTATCAATATTAATTTTTTAAAATATTTTTAATTGTATTAATTTGAACATATATTAAAAGTACATAATCTCTTTGTTATTATTAATTAAAAATTTTAGAAATTAAATAAATTAAATTAATGTTACTTACTTTGTTGAGTCTTGACATTTTACTTCTTTTAACATCTCATTGGATGAAAAAGTTACACCTTCAAACTTCGAAAGATCAATTTTTCTGTTCATTTTTAATCAAATTGCAAATATTTCTAAATGCGTACACGTCAATTAGAATACAAGTATTAAAGCGAATTAAAAGGAATAACTGAATAGTTTTTAAAGAAATGAATAAATTTAAAACAAATGAACTTTTGGTTAGGTATCAGTCCACGAGGTTCACGAAAAATTAATTTATGAAAAAAAAGACGCTTGATATTTTCGTTATTTTCATTCATTAACCCAGGGATGGGTAAATGTAACAAACTCGAGGTTTTCTACGTATGTTACATAAGGTAACATACGTACGTAACCCCCCACTCTCGAAAAATACATGGATGTAACAATGTAAGAACGTAACATATAGTAATAAACCCAGGTAACATTCGCAGGGTGGCCACCAAAACTCCTGAATAAAATTCACGTCTATTTCTCGGTTTTTTCAAGGTTTCTAGGAAATTTTCAAGGTTTTTTTGTTGGTTCAAATTTTATTATAGTAATAATACTTAAAAAATTCAACTACTACCACATTTATTATTATTTTTTATTGCCGAATTTTGTATAGACTTTTCTTACGATTCTGAACAATCAATCGTTTAGATTTTAAAAAATTCAAGGTTGCCACAAATATTTAATTTTATTTTTCCCTGACTTTTTCCTGATCTCCAGACAAAATTTTCACTTTTCCCCTGACCATAAAGAATATTCTGATTCACTCTAAAAATTATTAGACACTCAAAAAAACATTCTATTATATTTACTTACGAATTTCTTAAATCGTAAAATTATTCGCAAACATCAATAACTAAATTTTTAAATAAGTATTTAATTATTATTTTTCCATGAGAATTAAAATTCTTCAAAACATTCAAATTCAAAAATTTTTAAAATTCAACAACTTATATATTATTAAAAAATTTTTTTAAATAATTGAATTCTTTTGAAAATTTTTATTAAAACTGTAGATATTGAAAATCATTGAATTGAGAAAAATTTTTTGAAAATAATTGAAATTTTGCAAAGAATTTTATTAAAATTTTTGAAAATAATTTAAATTTGGAGAAGAATTTTATTATTTTTAAAGATAATTGAATTTTTATGAGAATTTTTTTTAACTTTTGAACATAATTGAATTTTTGCGAAGAATTTTATTACTTTTGAAAATAATTGAATTTCTGCAATCATTTGTAACTTCTCCAAAATTCAATTTTTTCCAGTTACTCAAATAAAAATCTCTGACTTTTCCCTGACCAATTTTACTTTCCCTGACTTTTCCCTAATTTCCCTGACCTGTGGCAATCCTGAAAAATTTTAATTTTCTCAAAAAATAAAATTTTGAAAATGGTCAAAAATTTTTTTTTTAGTTTTAATAATATATAATACTAAAGTTCAAGGTTTTTAAAAAAATTCACGATTTTTTCAAGGTTTGACAAAATTCACGTCTATTTCAAGATTTTCAAGGTTTCAAGGTCCGGTGGCCACCCTGTATATAGTAGAATAAATGAATTACAATTGAAAATAATTTTTATTTTTTATTGAATTGAGAAACAATTGTTAAATGACATTAAATGACATTGAATATTACATTATTTTAACAAGAGAATTGTTGCATTTTGTAATTTCAAAATATTTCATTTTTTTCTCATCAATTATTTTGATGCACTTGGTGTTGTCAATTGATAGATAAATCAATTTCTCGTATTCTAAAAAAGATAACAAAATTAATATTCACATTATATTTATAATAATTATATAATAAAAATATTAATTGAAATTTATTTGAAGCGTTTTGTTCAGAAACCGCATAAGTCCATTTTTTTCGAAAATCACTTTATTATTGAAAATTTATATTTAAATGAATATAATGCAAAAAGCCGAATTAAAAAAATCTTAATATTTACAAGAAAAATAGTTTCTATTGATTCCTGAACAATTTCGAATTATGGACTTATGCTGTTTCTGCACAAAATACTTCAATTAATTTATTTAAAAATATAATTATATAAAATACTATATAACAATTATTGAAACAAAATATTTACTTAATAAAAATTTATAATTTAATTAAAAAAATTTTTTATACAATAAATATTAATTGAAATTTAATTATTTTTAGGGTGGCCACATGTTAGTAAAGTCAGTAAAGTCAGTAAAGTCAGCGAAATGCCAGGAAAAAAAATATTTTGACAGTAAAGTTAAGGAAATGTCAGGAAAAAAATTTTTTGTCAGTAAAGTCAGGGAAATGTCAGGAAAAAAAATTTTTTGTCACTAAAATCAGGGAAATGTTAGGAAAATTTTTTTTGTCAGGGTAATTAAAGAAATTAAGACCGTTATGCAATATATTTTTTGCTCTAAACAAAAAAATGTTTGTTAGGGAAATTCGTTGTTATGTCAGTAAAATGTCAGGAAGATGTCAGGGAAATTGATAAAATCAATCTTGCGGCCACCCTGATTTTATTTAAAATAATAAAATATATTATTTAATTAATATTAAATAAATGTTTATTAAAAAAAATATTTAAGTAAAAAATAATAGAAAATAGAATAGAAAAATTTTCATATATTTCGTTACATTTATTTGTGAATTTTAAAATCATAATAATATATAATAGCAATTATTGAAACAATATTTACTTAGTAAAAAATTTATAATTAAATTAAAAAAAAATTTTATACAACAAATATTAATTGAAACTTAATTAATTCATTTAAATTAATAAAATATATTATTACATTCTTATTAAATAAAAAATATTTAAGTTAAAATAATAAAAAAGAAAATAGAAAAATTTTCATATATTTTATTTTATTTACTTGTAAATTTTAAAATTCCTTCTACTTCTACATGGTCTCCTTTCTCTAGATATTCTGTATCCGCTGCAAAGTCCTTAATTCTGATCTCCATTTTATAATTTCCATTTGTCAATGTTCCAACTCCATACCAAATGTGTTCTTCGTTTGTGGTGTATGTGAGAAGACGAAAAGCCGACTTAATAAAACCTTTAATTTTGACAAATCCGCTTTCAGAAGAAGCATCCTCGAACTCAATAGTTTTAGGTTTTCTGATGTTTTCCATTTGTTTGCAATTTTCAGATTTTAAAACAGTAAATTTCGTGTGTTCCTTAACATTTAATTGGTAACTTGTTGTCCCTTCATTAAATTTGGGATCTTTGAAACTTAAAGCTTCAGCTCCTTCGATGAGTAAAACCTATTTTATTATGAAAAAATTATTATTTACAATTAAACCTTTTAAATTAATAATAATAATTATTATCATTAAAATGAATAAATTAGTATTATTAGATCTGTGCTCTAATTATTATATTTATTATTATAAATTGTTTATTACCATGTTAACTTGCAAGTCAGGTTCAATTCTGTCAATCTCCTTTCCCCACACTGACACCATACATCTTGTCCCAGAACCATTGTTTAAAATGAACGACATAACTCTGTACTTCGTGTTCCTCCCGACAATTTTAGAGGCTGTAACTTTGTCAACGTAACCCGTAACCTCGCTGTAAAGTAATAAATAAATTAATTTAAAAAACAAATAATAAAAATAAAACTACATTTAATATTATTAATAAATGATAATTAAAATAATGAGCAAATAAATAATAATAAATAATCAATATAAGTAAATAAAATTTAATATACATTACATATTTATAAAATAAAATTTATTTTTAAAAATTTTTCATAATAAATAATTTTGAAATAATACATACAGACTCGTATCATTTGGTTCAATGGCATCAAATTCTTCATTCGATGTGAAGATTATTTCGTTATCTTTCGGTTCAGGTTCCGGTTCCGGTTCCGGGACTCTCATTTCTTCATCGTCTCCTTCGTGCGAATGAGGTTCGCTACTTTTTCCAAGATCATTAATCCTTAAAAATTAGAAAAGGAAGTAAAAATTATTATAAAAATAATTTTTTAACAGAAATCATTTGAAATTAATTTTAATTTAAAAAATTATTTTAAAATCTGTTAAAGATATAATTATATATAATTTTTTACTTTTTATTCAATTCAAAAATATTAATCATGTAATTATAATTAAAAATAGAAATTATAATAAATAAAAAAAGTTATTCTATTGAAATAAAATGCAGTAGACAAAAAATTATATTTTTAATTTATAATTTAACTTACTTGCTTAACGAATCCATGAGTTTTGTTGAGTGAGCCTCAAATTCATCAATAGTTGTTGATAAAATAATTTTTGTTTTTTCTGGAATCGTTAAACTCATTTTGATTTTTGTGAGAAATTGAAAGTTTTTTGACACAATTTTAACACAATTCAAAATGTCTACCTTTTCGTTTTCTTTTGTTAATGTATATATATATATATATTCAATTCAATTGTTTATATAACAAATTATATATAATATATTAATAAAAAAATTAATTTTTATTTTTAATAAATAAATTAATAAAATAGAGAAAAATATAGATTAAATGTATTAATTATATTTTTTAGCTTCAATTTGATAAATAATATTATATTTTTATAATATTCATTAATTAATTACTTACTTTTATTAACTTTATACCTATATATTTAAAAAAATTCGAATTTTAAATAGTAATTATTTATAGAAGTTAATTTTGTTATGTTTCAAATATTTTAAATAATTTTTTTTTAATTTTTCCAAAATTATTAATTTTTAATAATAGAAACTTTTTATAATAAATCATTATTTCTTAGTTTTGATACTTT